CAGATCAATCCAATCCATACCATCCCATCCTATCTGTAAGATCCATTTTAATATTGTCCACCCAATTCCGCGTTGGTATTACCAGTTTTCTCCTTCCTTGAAACAATTGAAGCTGCCAGTCAGAGCAATGAATGGGAGACCTTGCTCCGGAAAGAATGCACGGCTTGGTGTTGTATGACTGTAGTTTCAATGCTTTCGTGACCTGTGTTGAGATTCCCATTTCTGCATGAGCCCAAGCTGCTTTCGAGGCAAGTTCTTGTCTCCCCTTTACTAACCGGCCAGTTCTTCTTACTATACCGACAGGATTTGAGTTTTTAATTTTTCGTTAGTTTTCCACCTCAACACAACTTTTATTTTATTACTAGTGGGGGGGGGACTAATTCCCTTGTACTGCGGCCACTTCTGGCCCCTTGTACCAGCCCCAGATGATAGGTGAGGGTGATTGTGGAGCAATTGGTGGAATGAAGATTAGCAGGGGAACAGAAGTACTAGGAGAAAACCTGACCCAGTGCCACTTTGTCCACCACAAATCCCACTTGACCAGACCGGGGTTCGAACCCGGGCCGCCGCGGTGGGAAGCCAGTAACTAACCCCTTGAGCAATGGCGCGGCCCTCAACACAACTTACTTAATTACTTACTTATGGAGCTGAGCCCTTCTTGAAGAGCCTCCAATTCTGCAGCTACTCAAGAATTTCCCAGCATTTTATGGAACCCGAAGGTTCATTACCGTGTTCACAAGAGCCCTCCACTGTTCCCTATCCTGAGCCAGATCTATCCAATCCATATCCCATCCTCTCTCTCTAAGATCCATTCAAATATCGTCCACCACCTACGCCTTGGTCTTCCCTGTGGTCTCTTTCCTTCTAGTTTTCCCACCAATATCCTATACGCATTACACATCTCCCCCATTCGTGCTACATGACCTGCCCATCTCATTCTCCTTGACTTGATCATTCTAATTATACTTGGAGAAGAGTACAAGTTATGAAGATCCTCATTATGCAGTTTTCTCCAGCCTCCTGTGACTTCATCCTCTTCGGTCCAAATATTCTCCTCAACACCCTGTTCTCAAACACCCTCAGTCTATGTTCCTCCCTTAATGTCAGAGACCAAGTTTCACACCCATACAGAACCACAGGCAAAATTATAGTTTTATATATTCTAATTTTTATGTTTTTGGACAACAGACGAGAAGACAAAAGGTTCTTGACTGAATGGTAGCAAGCATTACCCGAGTTCAGACTTTCTTAATTTTCTCCTGAACCAGGTTTTGATTTGTTATAGTCATTCCCAAATATCTGAACTGTGTCTCATTTTCAAAACATCTGTTCTTCTGAACACAACAACTATCAAAATATCATTCACATCTCCCTGTGTATAATATATTTATTGGTCTTAATAACATGACAACGCGCTACATGTTTCGCCTTATTAAGCCATCATCAGGCAGTATACATTAACGAATATTTTCAAATTATTGAATTGCACTTTGTATATGAATTCGTGTATTACAATATAAATAACTATTACTATATAAACACGTGTGTTGACACAACGAAGCCAGACGCGGAAACGCGATATTTAGATAAACCTATAAAATATAGGAAAACCAGATCGTGGAAAACATAAAACAAAACGCTATAGAACATAACAATAAATGGATCAGAGCAGTGCAGCTGCCCCACAAGATAAATCAAACGGGAGTAATAATAAAACACCCACTACCACGATCAAACATCAACAACACTTGAAGATACTTGTACATTTAATGCTACAATTAAGCTAATAGGCACCAACCTAAATATTATATATATACGTGTATACATACGTATATATACACAAGTCTGTATATATTAGTTGAATAGAAAATCAAATATAATAATAGTTAATTATATTGTAATATATGGCTTCATATATGAAGGGCAATTCAATAGTTTAAAAATATTCGTTAATGTGTACTGCATGTTGATGTCTTTATAAGCCGAAACATGTAGTGCATTTTCATTCTATTACGATCAATATACTCATTGTACACAGTGAAATATGAATTAGATTTTGATAGTTGTTTTGTTAAGAAAGAAACCTAACGAAGAAGTTATAGAAGAAAACACAACATGATGCATTCCTTTAAGATCTGAATATTAATTCTGTGTGGAACTCAAATCACAGGAAACTTTTTCCTAAATTTTCTGAAGCTCCATATTTTAGTCGGGCTTCACATAAGATGTAGTTAAAATGCTCCGTGCTTTAGTGTGAACAACAACAAAAATATCTCCTTAAGATACATCTTAATCTGTTTCCAAACCTTGTTCTTCGAAGTGCATGTTTTCAGAAAGGTTTCACTCTCATAATTCTGTGTGCATTCTTGGTGTCCTCACTCTTAACCATATTTTCGGTCCAACTTAACCTCTAAGATTTCACTATCCTAACAGCATCAAGTGATCGGTGTAAGTCACTAAGTTGGTTATCTGTGTCATAACCTAAATTTCTCGTTTACTTCATCTAACCTAGACCCAAATTCACAAACACAAATATTTGCTTAGATTACTTACTTACTCATGGAGCTGTGCCCTGCTGGAGGAGCCGCCAATTCTGCAGCTACTCAAGAATTTTCCAGCATTTTATGGAACCCGAAGGTTCATTACCGTAGTTACTATAGGATTCTGACGATGGTGTATAACACACTGATATGTTGGGATTTTGG